GAGCGGAGAGCATGTCATCGCTGGCTGTGGTGAGTTGCACGTGGAGATTTGCTTGAAGGACTTGAAGGATGAGTATGCTCAGTGTGAATTCATTGTCTCTGACCCAGTGGTGTCCTACCGCGAGACCGTGAGCGAGGAATCCACCCAGACGTGCTTGGCCAAGTCGCCCAACAAGCACAACCGCATCTACCTCAAGGCCGAGCCCATGGATGAGGAGCTCAACAAGGCCATTGAAGACGGACCTGCTGGCCCCAAGGCAGATCCCAAAGAGCGAGCCAAGCTCTTGACCGAGAAGTTCGACTGGGACAAGCAGGTGGCCCAGACCAAGATCTGGTGCTATGGCCCCGAGACCGATGGCGCAAACATTGTGGTTGATGCCACGGTCGGTGTGCAGTACCTCATTGAGATCAAGGAGCATGTGAACAGTGCCTTCCAGTGGGCCACAAAGGAAGGACCTTTGTGTGAAGAGAACATGCGAGGAATCCGCTTCAATTTGATGGATGTGACCTTGCACACTGATGCCATCCACCGTGGTGCTGGACAGATCATGCCTCCAACCCGACGATGCTGCTTTGCTGCGGAGCTCACGGCCAAGCCTACTTTGCAGGAGCCTGTCTTCTTGGTGGAGATCACGTGCCCACAGGAGGCCATGAGTGGTGTCTACAACTGCATGAACCTGCGCCGTGGCTGTGTTTTTGAGGAGAATCAGAGGGAGGGCACTCCCTTGGTCCAGGTGAAGGCGCACTTGCCAGTGTCTGAGTCCTTCGGTTTCGTGGCTGCCTTGCGACAGGCCACCAGTGGTCAGGCATTCCCCCAGTGCGTCTTTGATCACTGGGAGAACCTGCAGGGCAATCCTTTGGACAAGGGCAGCAAGATGGAGGAGTTGATCCTGAACATCCGCAAGCGCAAGAACCTGAAGGTCGAGATGCCTGCCTTGGGTGACTACTTGGACAAGCTCTAAAGTAGAGCGGCTGGAGCTTTGAGTGGGCACTAGTTTCAGTAAGACCCCCCGAAAAATGCTGCGTTGCTTGTGCCTGCACTGGAGTGTTTTTTGTCTGCAGGTGAATGGCACCCAAGTGTTATTCTGCAAAAACAACAGAGGCCCTGCAAACGGATTCTTTTTCAAGCCGGACACATGTGAGAGCTGTCTACTCAGATCCTGGAAGCTCTTGATGCGCCGAATCCGTCGGCTCAAAGAAGTGCGACAGAAGCGACCCAGACTTCGGCGAGAAGTGGGGATGCCGAGGCTAAACAAACGGTATTAGAGGCATCGCTAGTGGGTGGGATGGAGGCCATCGTTCTAGTCGGTTGGAGGCCATCGCTCTGGATGGATGGAGGCCATTACAGTTAGGTCGGAGGCCATCGCTATTAGAGCCTTGATCAACTTGATCGTTGGTCGACCCGATCGGGTTTGAGGCTGCTGATTGGGGGTGGTTTAGCAGTCTAGAGCATCCAAGATTCTCAAGCCCTGACAAAGCCTGGTGTTAGAACTGCCTGATTTCTTTTGAATAGCTCTCATTTGTTTGAGGCCTGTCAACCCTGGGATCTCTCTCCGTCCTAATCATCAGATACAATGACAATGTTCCTACGTAGCGTTCAACATGTCTCATTTTTCGGCCTTACTGGTAGTAACAAGTGCCTTACTAGTAGTAACAAGAAGCTACTAGTAACAAGTGCATTGCTTCTGGTACAAGTGCCTTACTAGTAGTAACAATGCGTGACGGCCATGCGCTAGGTGATGGGGAAGAAAGGCAAAGACGCAGCTCCGGAGGTGGTCGAGGAGCACCGCACACATGATCTCGTCGATTCGAGCAACAGGAAACGTGATCGAACAAGTAGAAACCTAAGAGTGATGGCCTCCACCGTAGTAGTGATGGCCTTCAACCTACTAGCGATGG